GTGGCACAATGATTAAGTGACTGCTAACTGAAAATTCTGCTGTTTGAATCCACCAGCAGCTCCAAGGGAGAAAAAGTTGGTGATCTGCTCCTGTCAAGATTACACCCTAGGAAATTTGACGGCCAGTTCTACTCTGTCCTACTTTGTTGTTGTTGTTGTTATGTGCTGTCAAGTAGGACCTGACTCATAGCGACCCCTCCTTGGGTTTCCAAGGCAGTATCACTACGAAAGTAAATTGCCCCATCTTCCTTCCGAGGAGTGGCTAGGATTGCTAAAAGTCAGCACCTAAAAACAATTGTTTTCTTATATTTTAAGGAGATCTCTTCCCACCTCCACCCCCTACACCTGCACTTTTAATTTGGATCAAATGTTTAGGAAACATATGCAAGTTCCCAAAATTATTCCTGATATTGGGAATATTGGGTATTTATTTTCTGAAGATGTTTGATTAGTTGAATTTTCTAAACTAAATTCCTATTGAAGCTAACTGCTACTTCTTAAAAGAAAGAAGAAGGATGTAGGAGAATTGATATGTTACAATTAGTAAGAGAAAACTCTTAAAAATTGGGAGAAATCTTTGGAGATTAAAGAGACTGGGGAAATCAAAGACCCTTAGGAAAAATAAGGAGATAATCTGGAGTTATCAGATTAAGAGATAAAAATTGAGCTGATTTGTGTTCAAATGTTTAAAGGGCGACTATGTAGAGATTTCTGACTAACTATCATCCACCTTCAAGGAACAGGACTAGAGAAAAAATGTATTTCTCTTGCAATTGGAAAGATTTCACTTTGACACTAAGAAAAGACTTTGAGTGGCATAATAATAATAATAATATTCATTGAGCACCTATTATGTACCAGGCCCTGTTTTGAGAGCTTTACACATATTAACTGATGAAAGCCCTAGGTACTGTAATCATCACAGATGAGCTTGGACTTGAATTTAGGAGATCAGCTCTTATTTCCAGCCTCTTACCCATGATGCTAAACCACTTCTGTTAAAAGTTGATTAACGCTAGCATTCCATCTGAGAAAAACCGTGGCCTTTCCCTCAGGAAAGAGTTTGAAGATAAGATGGACACATTTGATGGCATCAGGCCTCTGATTCTATTCAAAGAGCTGTTGCTTTCTTATTTTTTTTTTTTTTCAGCAAAACATTTTGGATTTACTTTACTTTCCTGCCTTCTTTAAAATGCTCAACAGAGTTCTTTCAGATGTTTTGTAATATTACATAAATATCCTTGAGGTAATATGGGCAAATGCCTAGTGACACATGTCATAGGGAAACATAATACCTTTCCCTCACCTCCTTTTTAATCTTTGAGGATTTGTTTAATAATTCATAGAGACATTAACCTTTCAGGTGGATTTGAGGATCCTTTTTATTTAATATAGTTTTGTTTGTGTTCTGAAAACCAAGGACATTGAAGTATTTAATGTCTGCTGAATAGAGCATTGTGTACACGTATCTTTGTTTTCTCTGAAAACAACCCTTAACCTTCATACATCTTTTCAGGGCTCTAGTGTGTGGGCTTGATGCATATTGTTCCCTCTGAGAAATAATGTGGTATAGTCCAACAGGTGTGCTGTTATAACAATGTCTTCATTTTCTTAATCCCCTAATTCCCTTCACACACTTTCAGTTCCATGATACTCTTTTGGCTGAGTCTATGGAGAAGGCAAGATGTAATTTTTCTCTCTCACAATTATGGAGTTTATTAAGGAAGTAACAGGTTATAATTCAGGATCAGAAATGACTCAGGACACAGTTTTTGGATCAGGACAGCCTTTTCTCTGCCATGCCGCAGGCAAGGCTCTCCTATGCCCTGCTCAGGCAAGTGTTACAAAGCTCTTTCAGCTCTACTGACACATGTTCAGAGGCATCCCACTCCTCCAGTAAGCCAGGCCCGAAAGCACCCAGCTGTACCTTGTTGTTGTTGTTGTTATTTGCCGTCGAGTCGGCCCCGACTCCTAGCGACCCCTCCTTGGGTTTCCGAGGCAGTATCACTATGGAAGTAGGATTGCCCAACCTTCCTTCCCAGGAGTGGTTGGTGGGTTTGAACTGCCAGCCTTCTGGTTAGCAGTCAAGTGCCTAGGCACTATGCTACCAGAGCTCCTAGCTCTACCTTAGTGGTCAGCAAAGTTAGCTCTACTAGGTGCCCAGAGGGGAGCTCTGGTAGCATAGTGGCTAAGGCACTTGACTGCTAACCAGAAGGCTGGCGGTTCAAACCCACCAGCCACTCCTCGGAAGGAAGATGGGGCAATCTACTTCCGTAGTGATACTGCCTCGGAAACCCAAGGAGGGGTCGCTATGAGTCGGGTCCGACTCAACGGCCCATAACAACAACAACAACAGGTGCCCAGAGACACCTGACTCTGCCAGTAAGCCTGCTCACCAAAGGTGTTCAGCTTCCTTGCTTCGTGGGCCAGGAAGTCCAACACATGGCTTTCCATCAGTCCCCTGGTTCTGTTGCCTCTGCTGCCATCGTTTCTCTATTGCTACTTTTCATTGTCTCTTTGCTGTAATAGCTCTGCCTGTCTCCTGGGTTGAGGAGATGCCCAGCACAGTCATCCCAGATCCAAAGGATATGCTCTGCTCCTTCTCTTCTCCTTGGTGGTAGTCAAGTCCCTTGAGATGTAATTAGTATTTGTGATAGGAAACAGGACAAGCAATATAACAAGGTATTCATGTGACAAATCATGAGATAAATTAGTGGCAGATCTGGAGTTTTAGCCCACATCTTCTGATTATAGTAGAAAGTTTAGAGCAATGGTTCTCAACGAGGGGAGGTTTGGCTACCCCCACTCAAAGGACATCTGGCAGTGTTTGGAGACATTTTTGGTTGTCACAATGGGGTAAAGGTGAGGGACTAAGGGCATATACTAAGGAAATCCAGGGATGTTGCTAAACATTCTACAATGTGCAGGATAGCCCTCCAGCCCCACTCCCCCAAAAAACAATTTTCTGCCCCAGAATATCAATAGTATCAGTGTCAAGAAACCCTATTTTAGAGTAATGGATTTGAATCTTGTTCTGTGTCTTACTTTGTGATTTTGAGAAAGTGGTTTTATTTCTCAGAATCTGTTTTCTCGTTTAAAAAAAAAAAAAAAAAAAAAAAAAAAACCCACCACCATCATTAAAAAACAAACAACAACAACAAAAATTACCCTTGCAGGATGGTTATGAGAGACCAACACAAGAGCAGTGAAAAAAAGTGCCAAACATATGATGGGCCTAACATATAAAAATCAGGGCCCATCCAATGGAGTTTAATTAAAAGAAAAGATAGAAGTAAGCAGTGCCAGGAACACAACGTCACTGAAATGAAAAAGAAGGCTCCCCAGCTCCCCATTAGCTGTTATGGTGAAAAGAGCACAAGAGATGGAGAGAGGAGCGAGGAGACTAAATAGCACTGAGGATGTACTGGGAGGCAAAAGGAGGAAATGATGAGACTGGGAATACAAACTAGGGCTATTTTGGTGAGAAAGATTTCGGTAGTGACTTGGAGATGAATTTGAGGGCTATTTAGGAGGAATTAGAAGAACTTGGTGAAATTTAAGAAAGGGCCCAAGATGAATATGACATTTCTGGCTTGAGTGCCTGGGTTTTGGTGATGCCATTCAACAAGATAATGAAATTAAATTCATCAATAAATATATCAAGTTTGAGAAGCCTGTAGGACATTAGATGATAACCTAGAGGTGGTTAGATATGGAGTTCTGGGGAGAAGCCAAAGGTTAGGGAATCAGGAACCTGAAGGCAGTGATTGAATCCATGAGAATGAATGAGATTTTCCAGGAAGAACATGTAGTGAAAAGAGCAAAGGACAAAGAAAAGTGAGAAGGTACAATCAGCGGAGAAGAACAATAGGAAGAGAAGGTAGAGTAGTATGAAGCCAAGACTGAAAGAGGTTCAAGAACACAAGCACAGGTGATGGCATCACATGTCACACAAAAATTACATTGGATCTCAATTTACCTTCTGAGATTTGGCAACTGAGTGGTAGTGCTGACTTTAGCAAGAAGAGTTCAGTGCAATGGTGAGCAGAAAAACTAGACTGAAGGAGTTGAGGAATAAATAATAGTTGAGAGAATAGGAATGAGGGATAAAGGAAGACAGAGTGGTTATCAGAAGGAGAAGCTATGAAGATGTCCCCCCACTAAAAATGAACAACACATAAGTCTATTTACATGTTGAGAGGAAGGGGACAGTGAAGGCTGAAGTTAGAAAATGTAGAACAGGGGAAACAGATACACTGAAAATGGGATGTCGGGTTGGGATGATTAGTTTGAGGAAAGAAGAAACAGACTTTTTCCCTCCAAATTGGATAAGAGGGGTAAGGTGGACGTGGATGTAAGTAAGTCTGAAAGAGTGAGGAAGCAAACATTTGAGGAAGTTCACATTGGAGACTCTCACTTTTTACTATCAAATTGTAGTAAGGTCAGCTGCAGGTGTGAGATAAGATACCTTAAGAGAAGGTAGGGCAGGGAATAATCCTGAAGGGTTGGGGAGGGGCATTAATAAATTAGAAAAAGTAAGTAGAGGCTGTAACTTCCAAAAGCTGGCATATGAAGGACATCTGAAGGTACCAGCGTCACCTTGGAGTTTGTATCTAGTTCTTCCCAGACCAGTAACAAAACTCATCCATCTTTAGAGGGAAGCAATAAACCAGAAAGAGTTTTCCAAGAACAAACTCTTGGGGTAGGGTGTGTGTGTATGGGGGATGACCACCCAAATTCCAAATGAAAATGGGCATAGGGTCAATTGTGTTTATGGACCTGTTGTGTTATCTCCTCAAATGAAAACAAGCATATCTTATGAGTATTCTTAAATAACCTTCAACATCTTAAAGAGTCATAATAATGCAGAAAAAATGCTGAGTTTATTTTCCATGACTAAGTACTGTCAAGAAAAGCTGCAGCAATAATCAGTGGAATAGAAATGAATCATGATAAAATTGTTTTCTTTTGCAGAGTCTTGCCTTTCTTGAGCCTAAGTCATGAGTTGGATGTTCCTCAGAGATCTCCTAAGTGGAGTAAATAAATACTCAACTGGGATTGGGCGGATTTGGCTGGCTGTCATCTTCATCTTCCGTTTGCTGGTCTACATGGTGGCAGCAGAGCATGTGTGGAAAGATGAGCAGAAAGAGTTTGAGTGCAACATTAGACAGCCTGGTTGTGAAAATATGTGTTTTGACTACTTCTTCCCCATCTCCCAGGTCAGACTTTGGGCCTTGCAGCTGATCATGGTCTCCACACCTTCACTTCTCGTGGTTCTACATGTAGCCTACCGCGAGGGCAGAGAGAAAAAGCACAAAAAGAAACTCTATGTCAGCCCAGGAGCAATGGATGGGGGTCTGTGGTACACTTACCTTATTAGTCTCATTGTTAAAACTGTTTTTGAAATAGGCTTCCTGGTTTTATTTTATAAGCTGTATGATGGCTTTAGTGTTCCTTACCTTGTAAAATGTGATTTGAAGCCTTGCCCCAACACTGTGGACTGCTTCATCTCCAAACCCACTGAGAAAACCATCTTCATCCTCTTCTTGGTCATTACCTCATGCCTATGTATTGTGTTAAATTTCACTGAATTGAGCTTTCTAGTTCTCAAGTGTTTTGTTAAGTGCTGTCTCCAACAATACTCTAAAAAGCCCACCTCCTCAATGTGTGAGTGCCACAACCTCACAAATGTAGAATGTGGTGAGATAGGGGACCCTCCCTTACTCCACAAGCAGAATTCAGGCTTGGCCACAAGCACAGCCCAGTGACTTGAAGCAAAGCTACTTTGTGACACTTAACAGGGTAAACAAGGAAAACCAGCATTCCTCCAAGACTTAAACTGGACTAGGAAACCAAGGATGTCAGCTTTAATATCATTATTTGGGAGCAAATTAAAAAAATTTTTTCAGTGTGCTCTGAGTTGTGAACACTAGACAAAGAGATTTCATCATCTTGTAGGGCTTTCCATCACGTAGATACGTAACTTTTGTTTGAAAAGTTAACTGCAAATTAGTCTGAAGAAATTAAACCCACAGCATTCTTTTAAGTTCTTAGTTCAACTGGACAATATAAAAAAATGACACTTCTAACAAATGTAATGGCCATTACACTGCCGTTAAGGCACTGGCAGTTCCAAAGTGGCAGTTCGGGCTCCACTCACTCAGGCCTACTCATTCTTTGTTAGAAAAGACCATGATGGTGGGTGGGGTAGCAGCTATCTCAGAGCACACAGGCACATAGCCAATGAGCAGGCCCAGGCTGAAGAAAAGGCTCTTGGCAGTTGAGTATACATGAATGTGTATGAGTGCCTAGTGGAGGGGGGAGCCTGAATTTTTGTGCTTTCCAAGTTAAGCACAAATATTACTGGGAGATAACTTCTGAAAAGATCACTCAAGAGTCATGAGGAAAGGCAGGTCCCACAGAAAGCAGCATATTGACAGGGAAGAAGGCAGGCTCCATGAAAAGAATTTGCCCATTTAGTAATTACAAACAGATCTCTTGAACTATAAAAATGTTGACATGCTTTGTAAATTCCCATATTGTTGGACAGTTTTGTAATCAGGAATTGACAGTGTGCTACACGGTATGTCACAGTGTGCCTACAATGCACTAGCACATCTTCTAGGAGAGATCATAAAACTATGCTGTTCATTAGTCCAAAAAATGTTTATCAGCACTTGTTTTGAAGACTATAGCTTTTATTTACTTTTTTAATTTTAAAAACAGTCTTGGGTACATTTCTCTTTGGACTTATTGTTCTAACATAGGTGCATTTCTCCCGAGTAAAAATAAAGCGGTTTTGCAGTTCTATGTGGCTATCACGGATATATTTGGTTGCACTGCGTATGATTATTCTGTGAAATAAAACTTGTTCTGACAATTTCAGAACAGGATTTGCAACATTACTTGGTAAGGAAAGCTCAGAAATCATTCTTCTCCACTGGGAATTTCTTAATAAAAAGGCAGTGCATAAAAACATAATTTAAACTAAAAACCCAGTTATGTCATGTTTTCCACACCCTACGCTATTCAGAATAAAATGTCTCATTACAATTCACGCATAATGAAAGTTATTTGGGTTATTATGTAGTCTTCAGATCATGTCAGCAACGGTGGTCATAATTTTTGCCTTAAAGACTATCTTGGAAAACAGAGAAGGGAGATTTTGTGATTTTCCCCTTTCTTTGATTTATAGCATAGACCTCTGCTAGACATATGAGTCTGCACCCATTACACCCATGCACTTTACCACTTGACATGAAAATGTCCACCTTCCACAAATGCAAGTTATCACTGAAGGACTTACTTAATGAAAGGAACTGTTTTTGTTTTTGACAGTGATAGGTAGCTATAAAGGTTTAAGGTGTTTGAAGCCCTGGCCTTGACATGAAATCTAGGAAATAGGTTTTTAGTGGGCAGAACTGGAATGCAGAAGAGACTGAAGATGAGTTTGCTGCCTTTTTTTTTTTTTTTTTTCCCCCTGCATGGACCTCAGGCTCATCATATCAGTTAAGACAAGTCCTGCTGAAGCAGAATGGTTTGTTGCTTTGATATGTACTTTTTTTTTTTTGGAGGAGTGACTGGTCACTTATTGAAGTGGTTCAGTGGCAGAATTCTCATCTTCCATGCAGGAGATTCAGGTTCATAGTCTCATGCACAGCCACCACCCATCTGTCATTGGAGGCTTGCATGTTGCTATGAAGCTGATAGGTTTCAGGCAACCTTCCATAGTAAGATGGGTGAAGAAGAAAGGCCTGGCAACCTACTTCTGAAAATCAGCCAATGAAAACTTTATGGGTCACAATCAATCATGGAGATGGCACATGGCTTAGTAGTGTTTCATTCCATTGTGCATGTTATCACCATGAATTAGGGGCCAACCCAAAAGCAGCTACCAACAAGCAAATATGAATAAAGTATGTTGTTATGTGCCGTCAAGTCAGACTCGACTCATAGCAACCCCTCCTTGGGTTTCTGAGGTGGTATCACTATGGAAGTAGATTGCCCAACCTTCCTTATGAGGAGTGGCTGGTGGGTTTGAACCACCAGCCTTCTGGTTAGCAGTCAAGTGCCTTAGGCACTATGCTGCCAGAGCTCCTGAATAAAGTATAGCTGTAGTTAATAATAAAGCAGCATCATGATAAATGGAGAAAAGACTGACATGGTCTCAGGGATTTCATTTTCCTTGGTTCTACAATCAGTACTCATGGAAGCAGCAGTCAAGAAATCAAATATCATATTGCACTGGGCAAATCTGCTGCAAAAGACCTCTTCAAAGACATTAAGGCATTGTGTACCTTGTAAGATATAATAAATAATCCTTGAGAAAATTGCCACATAAGAAGCATGGAGGTGAAGATGGGGTGGAGTATCTAACACCATTATCCTTACACCATGCATCAAGGAGCAAAGATGTCACCTTGATCACTAAGGTGCGCCTGACTCAAGCCATGGTATTGTCAATCACCTCATATTCCTGTAAAGCTGGGCAATGGATAAGGAAGATTAAAGAATTGATTCCTTTGAATTATGGTCTTGGCAAGGAACATTGAATATATCATGTACTGCCAGAAGAATGAACAAATCTGTCTTGGAAGAAGTACAAGAATGCTCCTTGGAAGCAAGGATGGTGAAACTGTATCTCACATACCTAGGATGTACTATCAGGAGAGACCAGGTCCCAGAGAAGGACAGCATGCTCGGTAAAGTAAGTGGTCAGTGGAAAAGAGAAAAGGCCTCCACGAGATGGACTGACACAGTGGTCGCAACATGGGCTCAAACAGGGCAGCAATGGTGGGGAGGGCACAGGACCGGGCAGCGTGTTGTTCTGTAGTAGATAGGAATTGGAACCAAACTTACAGCATCCAAGAATATGTACATTTCTTGCTTTTCTACTTTCCAGTTATTATGATAAGCCCTGCCCAAACAGAAAGGTTTGGTTGCTTGGATATGCACATTTCCTGTTTTTCAGAGGGAAAACTGAAAGGTAATATGAGCAACGTCAATGAAAAGGAAGTTGTTTAAATAGAAAGATGAATGACTTTTTTCTCTTTGAAGCCTTTTGGTAGAACCAAAAATTACAAATTCAATTTCCCATCAGAATGTTCTGAAGGCTGTCTTGGTGTTAGTGAAGACCCAAAATATCTGATTGTGAGAAACTGGCAGTTAAATTTTGCCATCTTTATTGTTTCTTTTATCAATAAATTAATAATTATTAAAACATTGAAACGTTTAAGATTTAATACATAATCTTTGAGAAAATTTCCATGTAAGAAACATGGAGGTGAAGATGGGGTGGAGTACCCAACACCATTGTCCTTACACCATGCACCAACTCACATGACCCACCCGACAACATTCCAGGGCTCACAAAGCAGACAGTAACCTCAGAGATGAGGAAAGACACAGGGAAGCAGTCACTTTTCCACAGACACACGGCTAGTAAAAGCAGAGTTGACTATCAAAGTTCTCTAAACAGACACCCTAATTTCATTCAAGCCATTCCCGACTTGTAGTAATTATTTTGAGTGTCCAGCACTTGTTTCCACAATCTTTCTGCTTACCCCTTGTTCCTGGCCCAGGGATTATTTTAATTGCAGCTGGAAGGATATGGTTGTTTAAGAGATTATAGAAAGAATATCTAGAGCTGCAAGTGGCTATGGTTCCAGTCTTCCTAAGGAAATGATGCCAATTCAGAGAGAAAAACTACCAAGATGAAAGGAAAGAAAAAAAGGCAAAGGCCTGAGTATGTCTGAATTCCTTAATTCTGTTGTCCCAGAGACTGGCTCCAGCCATACCCTTTTCACTGTTTAGTTACACAAAGAGATAACCAGTCACCACAGAGTTGACTCTTGTTCTCATGGTGATCCCATGTGTGTCAGAGTAATACTCTGCTCCAAAGGGTTTTCAATGTTTTTTTTTTTTTGAAAGTAGATCACAAGGTTTTTCTTCCGTGATGCCTCTGGGTGTACTCAAACCTTCAACCTTTCAGTTAGCAGCTGAGTTCATAAACTATTTGCACTATCCAGGGACTCCAACATGAAAGATAAAACCCCTTCTTTACACTGATTCAGCTTGGAATTCTGCACCTTGCAACTGAAAGGCCCTCATAATATCAGCTCTTCACCTTTTTCACGTATGTCTTGACTGTAAAACATGGCAATCTGCTTTGATACTGTTGTTGCTGTTGTTAGGTGCTGTTGAGTTGCTTGAACTCATGGTGACCCATGTGCTGCCCGGTCCTGTGCCATCCTCACCACTGCTGCCCTGCTGTAGCCCACGTCACAGCCACTGTGTCAGTTCATCTCGCCGAGGCTCTTCCTCTTTCTCACTGGGCACCTACTTTGCCGGCATGCTGTCCTTCTCCAGGGACTGGTCTCTCCTGATAACATGTCCAAAGTAAGTGAGGCAAGGTCTCGCCATCGTCGCTTCTAAGGAGCATTCAGGCTGTACTTCCAAGACAGATATGTTCTTCTTCTGGTAGTACACGGTAAATTCAATATTCTCTGCCAACACCACAATTTGAGGGCATCAATTCTTCTTTGGTCTTCTTTATTCATTGTCCAGCTTTTACATGCATGAGACAACTGAAATATCATGGTTTGGGTCAGGTGTATCTTAGTCCTCAAAATTACATCTTTGCTTCTTTAACACTTACAGGTGGTCTTTTGCAACAGATTTGACCGGTGCAAATTGATTTGACTGCTGTTCCATAGGTTTTGATTGTGGATCCAAGTAAAATGAAATCCTTGACAACTTCAACTACAAA